GTACATGTTGATTTGAAATGCTTACATATGCTTACAGCACCTGAACCTCGACGACATAGTATTCATAATATATTTTATAAATTTATTTAGATTTACTGTTTTTAATATTAATTTATATTTCACTTTTAATGTATCTTAATAAATTATATTCAGTATGTAACATAATAATGTTTAATTAAAATTATTAAAAATTAATTAATTGCCATTTTTTAAAAATTATAAAAAAAATTATTTCAGTTTTTTACGATGACTTTTTTAGACTTGTCGTCGCAAAAAAGTAAGATTATTTGCGACGACATTTTGAAAAATGTCATCGCAAAAAAGATCATATCACGAGAATTTTACAACAGAGTATTAGCAACGCTTGTCGTCACAAAAAAACTATGTCGTCGAAAATATATTTGCGACGACAATATGTCGTCGCAAAAACTTTTTTTGCGACTAATTATTTATGACGACATATCTGTGACGACGTGTCGTTACAAAAACGGTTATTTGCGACGACACTCGGGTTTTTACGACGATAAAAAATCGTCGTAAAAACCTCTTTTTCTTGTAATGTATAACAGTTACCATTTTAAAGCAATTGCTAAAGTGTTTTTTTAAATCAAATATTTAAAATAAAAAATAAAAAACCTTAAAAAAGGAAGAATTTAGAGTAGATGAGGGGAAAAAAAACTTTTTTGCCTTGACGAATATTGTGCCCTGGAGTAGGGACCACCGTCCAACAACGGCTAGAAATGGCCGACGACGGCAAATGAATGGCTTTTTTTATTTTTATTTTTTAAGGACAACAAATGAATGAAATGCCTTGATTCAAAAGTATGAATTGCTTTTGGCATCACACGTGTAGGCGATAAGCGACAGAACTTATAACACGACAAGATTTTTATGGGATTCCGTTACACACGTTTCTGTCTGACTATGGATTCAATGCCTTTTGAGCCAAGAGGTGGCCTGCTCTTCAATTTGAGGATTTTTTATTTTTTTTCCCACTCGAGTAATAATACAGAAATTTCTCGAAAATAAAAAATCTGTATTACGGAAATCTCTTTCGAACAAAAAAAAAAAAAAAAAGTGGATTTATTTCAATGAATTTTGAAAGACAAATTATACGCTTTTCTCCTCGTTACAGAATGTCTTTTAAACTTTAATTTTAATTTCTTTTCTTCCTGAACATTAATTACTTTTATAAAAATTTTTCCTCAATTAAATATTTATCAAAAAATGTCGCATAAAATATACAACCTAACAAAAAAAACTACTTATTTTAAGATTTTTAATAAAGATAACGCTTATCACATAAATAACGAGTTTTATAATCGAACTATTTTTAGTATATAATTATTTTGTTAGCTTCTCATTATTTAGTCACACAGAAATACAAATACGCAGTAAGAGTTGCCATTTTTTTTATTACACCAATTTTCTCTTAATTAACTTGACCTAAGGAACCTTAAAAGTTTATCAATGGCGACCAACGGCAATTACAGAAGTAAGAATTTAACAGAGAAGAAAATTTTACAAGAGTTGTTGAAGTTTATAAGAAAGAAACTAAAATTAAACTTCAGAGGTATTTTGTAACAAGGTCTATAGCTCGAGGAGAAGATTTTTAATTTGTCTGAACTTTGAAATGTATCATGGGTGTCTCTCTTAAACTTTATTGTTAAAAAAAATTAAAATTGTTTCATTAGAATTCTAAACTTTAAATTGTTTCATTTTAGCCCCTTCTATATATTAAAATTCCCAACGTAATTTTACACACGTCACTCATGTGATGAATTTTTTAGGCAGAGTTGGGCAATTTCAGTACTATAATCTAGTGGGATTTAGGATTAGCAAAAAAAAAAAAAAAATCTAGTGGGATTTGGAAATGAGGACTCCGATCAAGAGACGGACAGAATTTTTGAAATAGCAAAAATTGGCTGTAGAAACGACATTGATAAGGGCATCTCCAACCTAATTGCTTTCCGAAGGAGATCTGGCACAAGGATGGCATCCAACTCTGCACCATTCTCTTGCGATATCTTGGCGCAAAAAAAAAAAAAAAAAAAAAAAATTTGTGCTATTCCTTTTTTTTTTCACTTTTCTTGATAAAAATTAAAACACCCGCACAACAGTTTTTAATTCCTATTTTTTACTCCAAGTTCATAGTTTTGATCAAAATTTCTTCCTTTTTGCTATAATAAAAAAAACAAGAATTCTTCCTTTTGTACTAATCTTTTTTTTTATTATTTTTATGATTTTGGTTACTTTAAATATGTAGTAAATGGGGTATTTTCGTTAATTGAATGTAATTTATTATTTTATCATTTTTATGAGTTGGATAAATGATAATTTATTAAATAAATGTATTAGTATTATTTATGTGCATAAATAGATAATAGTTGGGAATTAGGAAAAAGAAATACAAAAAGAATTATAAAGGAAATATATCTTTTAGGGGACGTTTGGTATGCAGTAATCTTAAGAATGAGAATGAGAATCTACAATATTATCATGTTTGGTACAAGAATTATCATTTTTAGATTATTAAAAAAGTGATTATCATGAGATTTATTTTCTCTCACTTTAAGGTAATTTAAATACCATCTAACATGATGTTATTTAAATTCTCAAGAATCTCAAAATTATAGAAATCTTACCCGTCTGCATTTTTTTTTTTTTTTGTCGTTGATAATATTACACATTAGCCTTTCTTCTAGTATTTGACTTTTCTTTTTCTGTTGCTCTAAATAAATTTTGTTGTGTACGTAAACATTTACTTACTTATTTTTTGGTTTTGCTGCGTTCTTTTGTAGGATGAAGTACGTCCATTTGCTGAAGCTCTCTATAATTTATTTAAAAAAATATGTTTTTTTTTAATTCACAACATTTTCATGCACAACCAAATATAATAATATAATATTTTCAAGAATTTGAGAAAGAATCTTATATGAAACCAAATACAGTAATGTATTATTCTTAGGAATCATATTACCCTCAATCATTTTCTCAGGAATATAATTCCTATTGATTATTGTGTACCAAACGCCCCCTTAGAGTAAAGTTTGAAGTATAATGAGTTAGAAATTAACGTAGGGTCCGTTTGATTTATGGGTTCAAATCATGGTTTATGATTCTGATTTTTAAAATTTAAATTTATTGTGAGAAAAAAATACTATAGCAGAACCAAAAATTGAGATTTGAACCCATTAACAAACAGACTCTAAAATATTATCTAAAAGTGAAAGTTACTCTATTTTAAAGATAAAACAACTCAACTCTAAAATAAAATAATGGGTTAATCCGGTCAATCTAATTTGATTTTTCTCAATTTGGTAGCTCTTTAATTCTCTATAAAGAGGAAACAATAACCGTATTCCCTTTTTCTTCACAGCCAAGTAATTAACATGGCAAGCTGCCGCACTTAAAGGGACAACTTAACAGATTCTGGTTCCTAGTTTTGGCAAAGTAGGTGACTTTGTGACAAAAATAATTTTGCAAATTAATGACTCTCTTATCCATATCTCTTATTTAAAAAAAAAAAAAGATAACATACTATATATATTTATCAGGATATATGTGAGTAATGAAAATGCATTTATCTATTTAAAATTAAACAGCCCAAAGGACTAGATTATTATTTGGTATCAATCTCATCTTCTCCAAATTTACGGAAAAATAAAAAATATATATGTAATAGAAAAATATACTATCTCTCTATCTATTTGTTAAATTTAGATAAAATATGTCTTTGCAATTTGATCCTAAATTTATCGTCAAATCTTGACGAGTTGATTGGTATCATATCTGGTTTACAGCCAATTAAGTAAATATTGCACTACATATCTATAAAAAAAAAAAAAAAAAAAAAAAAAAGTAAATAGTGCGCCACATATTATCAAAAGAAGTAATTAATGGACAACACAATATGTATGCGAGTGAGTCAAATAGAAGGTGAATTAGCTGTCCCGATTGGCTAGATGGATTGGACTATACTAAAAGTTGGATTTTGACCAGCATTTATAGGAAGATTATAAAAAAAATTAAATATTTTTCAAAACAAAAAGATAAAAAAGAGATATAACTAATCTAATTGGAAAAATTACGGGATCAAAAACGCGTGGGCCCGTTTGGTAATTAATATATACGATTGATATATTAATTATTAGTTATTTATTTAATAATCTATTAATATATTATATAATCAATTTTTGATAATTAATTTTTAACTAAATAATTATTTATTATTTATTATTTATTATTTTTATTAATAAAATTATAAATTTAATATTAATTAAGTAATTAAGTAATTATTATCTATTTATTAATTATTAATTAATATATTATATAATTAGTAATTAATAATTAAATAATTTAATGTAACATTATTGGTAAGTACTAGAAAATGAAAAGGGAAAAGGAATTGTTTTCTAACTTCATTCACAAAAATTATTTTCATTGTTTTTTATTTTCGTTTTTATTTTCAAAATATTTACTAAAAAATACAATTTACAAACTGTTTTTATTTTCGTGCCTAAAAGACATGTAAAAATGTTTTTAAAAACAACTGAAAAAACAATTCCAAACACACTGTATTATCACAGTTTCCGAAGAGGCATGTGATCCCCCACAAGCAATACCATTGGATACAAAATACGAACCCCACTCATCAATCTAATCCAACGGCTATTTGTTTGAAGCCAAAGAATCACTCAAAGGGGATTAAATTCTCTAAAGAATTAAGAATTTTAATTTGGCCTCAAAAATAGAAACGTCCTTCCATATAAGGGTAATCTACACACCAATCACAACAAATCTTAAAATAAAGAAATAAAGAAATAAATCTTAAATAGAAGTCAAATTTGGATATGAGAATTTTTGGGTTCACGTGTCTTGAGATAAAGGGAAATTAACAACCAAGAGTTCATAAATAGCCCAAAGGGAGTAACCTTAAAAATCGGAAAAAGAAAAAGAAGATTAGTTTCTTGATGGTAATTAAACTTTGAGGTTTAATCATGGTTAAGGAGGCGCAGCGCAAGTGTTCGCATTGTGGGCAACAAGGTCACAATTCAAGAACGTGCAACAATCGTAACAATGTTGTTTCACCCAGGAATCGGAATGGGAATGGGAATGGGCATTCCTTTAAGCTGTTTGGCGTGAATATTGTGGAGGGTGCAGAAGATTCGATGAAGAAGAGTCGAAGCATGGGAAATCTCGCTGCATTGTCTGGAGGGCAAGGAAAAAACGACGTCGTTTCGGGTGGTGATGATCATGATGATCATGATCCTGAGGCTGGGTATCTCTCTGATGGGGTCCTTCACAACGTCAAACGCAAAGCCGCTCGTGAGAGAAAAAGAGGTACGTACATGAGATCGATATTGTGTCTGTATATATTTATTACAATTTCTGTTGATATTTGATTTTTCTTTTTTTTTTCTTTGACATGATTTTCCATAATAATTGTAGCTTTTGGGTTTCTGGGTTGTTATTTTTCCATTCCTAGTCATCTTTGGTTGCTAGTTTTTTCTTGTAGAAATATATATATATATATATTAAAGTTGCAATCTTTAATCCAGGATGTGGAAGATCGAAGGAGGGTTCTATGCACCTAAATCATTATATATGTTATTTATGTTAATGAATGTACATCCAGAAGCACATAATTTGCTTGGCAAACTGAAAACTCTTCAAATTTCTTTCTTTTTGTTTATCAATAGAAACTCTTGAAGTTTTTGGATTTGAAAAATCATGCCTCACATTGTAAATCTTTTAGCTCGCTAATTTTTCTTCAGGGAAACCGTGGACTGAGGAGGAACATAGGACTTTTCTAGCCGGAATGAATAAGCTTGGAAAAGGTGATTGGAGAGGAATATCATCCAAGTTTGTGACAACTAGGACTCCCACCCAAGTTGCAAGTCATGCACAGAAGTACTTCATCAGAAAACAAGCTCCAAAAGACAGGAAGAAACGTAGATCAAGCCTCTTTGACATGCCTTTTACGCAATCGGTGAGTTCTCTCTCATCGAGAATTCGACGCTCTAATCCGAGCAATAAAATTGAAGAAATCAAACAAACAAGTAAACACAACATTTATTATAGTTCAACCTCAATGTGAGAGCTAAGTTTGCTTTCAACTGCCGCAGAATTTTACTATTAAGTCTATAACCTGTGTGTTATTCTGCATCAGGGCAAGAACTAGGCTCCAGGACCACACATAACATCTCTTTCATTCTTTTTCTAATGTTTATTAATGGGGTACTTCACAGGATGATGTAGTTCCTCCTCAAGGTCATCAAGTTTCATCCATGATCAAACCTACTGCTGAAACTTCATCCAGGGTAGATAAATATTCCATCTTTTATTGTATATGGTATTTCAAAAAGTTAATACTTAAGACTAATAGTTTTGTATACAATGCAGCCTAGTAGGTCCCAAGGTTTGGCCGAAAACAATCCTTCAGAGGTAATAACATTAAAGAACTTTTTTGCTACCCAAAAACCACTTATTGAAACATAATTAGTGCTAGTTATAACAAGTTTATTTTTTGTAATCTCAGATTCTCAACCGATTCCCACAGCTCTGTTTGGACAATTATCCTGTACCTGTTCGTCCTGGTGTTGCTCCAAACTACCTAGTTCCATATGGGGTAAGAGCCTTTTTTTTTTTTTTCCTTTTTTTTTTTTTTTTTGGTCAAGTTAATTGGTAACGGTACATGATGGTTAGTATTTATGAATCTCTACTTGTTTTTATAGGTGGGATTTCCTGGGAATGTACAACCTTGGCCTCTGATAAACATTGGCAGACCAAGTTACTTGTACAATGTTCCTAATGTTTATGGGAGTGTTGACAATGGTGTACCTGTTGTGGTAACTCATCCCTCTGGAATCCCTCCACCAAGGTCTCCTCCAACCAGTCCGTCGATCAAGGCAGCGGCCAGCAAAGACTCATCTGCTGATCAAACGAATGGTCTTGAGCTCACGATTGGACAGCCACAATCAAAACAAGGGTCGGAATTATCATCTTCTCCTGCATCTGGGGCCATAAAAGTGACGTAGAAAAGTGTCATCTGTTAACAGAAAACGAGTCATTTACATTTTTCTTTACCAATTTTGATTTCGGAATTTGAGGTAGAAAAGAGTAGCTGTATGTTGAGTTTAATAATATGCAAGTTTGAGTTCCAGTATCTGGTTAGGAAGAGTGATGCTTGCAAAATCTAACGTACAGGACCATTTCAACTGTAGGGGGGGGGGGGGCAGTGATGTGGATAGAAGTTCAAAGTTGAATGTAATTTCTGGTGATAATAGATTGCATATATGTTTTCTCCAGAAAAACAAAAACAAAAACAAAAAATCAAATGAGATTGAGAGATAAACATCCGTCTCTTTTCTTGATTCCATCTTTACAAAAAATTTCATAGCCCAAAAATAAATTTTCATAGAAGAATGCTATTTCTTCATGTAAGGAATTCCACCATAAGGGAGCATATCAATCATATGATTTAAATCAATGTTTCATGAAACAAGTATAATTTTGCTCAAGAGAATCTTTTCATAGTATCCAACCCCTTATTTTAAGTACCTTTGATTTAAATCCTTATGAAGATCTCCTATGGTCTTTATGCTTGCAAGTTGCAACATCCAGAAAACAAAACCCCTTTAAAGGGTAAAAGGTTTTAACATTCGACAAAAAAAAAAAAAAAAAAAGCCGAAATGACTAAAACACAGAAAAATAGAATAGATTGTTGACAGGAATTGTTAAATTCAAGTATAATGTATTCGATGACTTCTGCTATTTGCAAAACAATATTTAGAACTTGACAAATTTCCTGTAGGAATCCACGGAAAACATTCACTATTGCAAGTCACATAAAAACAGAAGGAACCAGGAAAGTAACAAATGTCGCTGAGCCAGCAAACATCATTTGTACAGACCAGTTGAGACTACAAAGAATGGAATTTTAAATAAAATGACACTGACAGGCAAATTATCACATGGTTTTATCATTCTCGATCAATCCCTCTCCAGTTCAGAGAGGTCAAACGAGATACATAGTACACGGCAGACTTTGGGGTATCCGATATGAGATCCAATTAAGACGAGCAGCAGCCAGACTTCTGGTTCACAGGTTGTCCTCGAATCTGCACAATTGGTGGCTTCGCGTTGTTCACCGGTTGACTTGCCATCCTGCAAAACATTGTGGAAAGTAATATCTTAATGTCAAACTGAGAAAGGCTGTGGTGACCATGTAAGGTTGTGTTGTCTTGGAGAATAATAACATGAAAACTATTTTGACAAGCTCAATCTTTTTATTTCAGCCGTTGTTTCTCAATACAGAACTTCCTCCAAACTATATTTTCTCCACGGTTAAAAAATTTCAACTTTAGACCATACGACATGTCCTGAGGAAACTACCTATTCTTGATTTCGGCTGCCATCGCCATGAAAGCCTGCTCAACATTAGTGGCATTTTTTGCACTGGTCTCCATAAATGGGATGCCAATTTCATCCGCAAATGCCTGGTCACAAGCAAATGTCAGGCAACATAATCATATGACCATGTATTAATTCATGTGTGAATACTGAATACAGCTAGATAGAGGTACTAGTATGAGGTGCATAGTTTCACCTTAGCTGTTTCATAGGACACAACTTTGTTAGCTGTAAGATCACTCTTGTTGCCAACTAAAAGCTTGTTTACGTTATCACTAGCATAACGGTCGATCTCATTTAGCCACTGCTTGACATTGTTGAAGCTTTCTTGGTCCGTAACATCATAAACTATCTGCCAGATACAACAAAGAAAGGTAAATAAATAGTGGAAAACGACAGGGTGAAACAACATGCACAGACAAAGAAAACTTACTATGATGCCATGCGCTCCCCGATAGTAGCTACTAGTGATTGTCCGAAAACGTTCTTGCCCTGCAGTGTCCCACTGCATGTCCCAAGGAAAATTCAGTAAACGAACATAGAGAGAGAGAGAGAGAGAGAGAGAGAGAGAGAGAGAGAGATTTAAGGCAAGATGGACAATAAGTGACAGGACATTACAACAACAACAACTAATGTTATCAAAAGTAGCATGCTATTCTTTTCCCTTAATAGAAAAACAATATCCACCAACCAATATAGTTTGAAAATAGAACAATCACCAATATCTTAAAAAATTTAGAGATGTAAGATCCAGGAAGAATACTATCAGCCATCACCATTTTCAGTATTTTTGGATGTGAGAGGATACAACTTTTCCTATCTATAGAATGTCTTAAACTCCAGGGTCCAGCATGCATCCACAAAAAGAAAAAAAAAAAAAAGAAAAGCAAAAGATGTATTGAGACAGTCTTACAATTTGAAGTTTTATCGTCTTTCCGTCCTGCTCAACAGTGCGTATTTTCTGCACAGAAGCAAAAGAACTCAACATTATGGCTCCATTGTTAAAATCAAATAACAGTATCAAAAAATCCAAAAGAAATAATGCTTACGAAGTCGACTCCAATTGTACTAATATAACTGTCCAGGTATGAATCATCCTGCATCAAGTAGATGTAAGAAGATTGTTCATAAAGCACTGTTCAGATCAAGGAAAAATCAACACATTGCAATATGCTTTGGTATATTCATGCCTCATGGTTGGTAATATCACACATAAGAAATACAGATATAAGGATTTTTTTTTTTTTTTTGTGGGGGGGAGGGGGGGTCAATAAGTAATAACAACACGCATGATTTGTTTGAGCACTCGAATTTATTAAGTACACTTTCAGTTTACTAAAAGAATCATTATCTATCTCAGAAGAAGAAACAAATAGGGGCACGGATAACTTACGGCGAATCTCAAGAGAAGGCATGATTTACCAACTCCAGAGTCTCCAATCAGCAAAAGCTTGAATAGGTAGTCACTGCATAAAAGAAACATAAGAACAAATTAATTATTTGCAGTACCAAAAAATATGAGTTGCACAACTTTAGCGTCTGAATAACTACACAGTGATTATTAAACCAAATAGATCGTAAATCAAAAGTAAACAAAGAATTTGAGAACATATGTCAACCTTCTTTAAAAAAAATAAAAAATAAAAAATAAAAAATTGTGGGCTCCAAAGAACAATTCAAATGAATTGCTAAGGCATAAAAAAAAAAAAAAAATTGTGGGCTCCAAAGAACAATTCAAATGAATTGCTAAGGCATAATAATAAATATACAAGTAGAGAGAAAAAAAAATTTCTCATCTATTTAAAGTATAAACATAATTTAGCTCAACATATATATGCCATCGGGTGTGGTCAACCCAAAATTCAATCCTCAATATCAGAAACCAAATTCTAAACAACCACAAAATGAAAATCTTAATATTAAAACAAAGTAACTACCCAATTATAGAAGCCAATCTAAAATACAGACAAGTAAATCAACTTTTATGAATTAAACGGACAAAATTCAAATCTGAAACTTCGGTTTTAATCAAATTCCCAAATCTATGAAAATTGAAGTTAACATAAATTCAGCCTGCTGGAATTTGCACTTTCACAAACTTTTCCTTCAAACAAATGACAGGAAAATTAAAAATAAAGCAAAAAAATTAAAAAAGTCAATAAAATTCACAAGAGGGAACAGAACACAAAAATACACGTTTTAGCAAGAAAGTATCGCGGATCTGAAGAAACCATAAGAACAAAAAAGGAAAAAGAAGAAAAACGATTTAAACAATTTTTTTTTCCTGTTTGAATTTTCTCAGCTAACAAACGGAGGTTAAAAGGTGAGAAAAACGAAATAAACAAAAAGGGAAAAAGAGATCGGAGACTTACTATTCGGGATTCATGACGACGAATTTCTGATCTGCGAAAAACTCGACCGGTCCAACCGAAGAAATAAAAGTCTACTCCGGAGAAGGAAAGGTTGATCGGAGAACAAGAAAAGGCAACAAATTGAGACAAAAGAAAATAATAAAATATAAAAACAGAGAGGTCTTTTTGTGGAAGCAAATGTAAATCTGAAACAACACCGAATCAGAAAGTGATGACTGACTAATGATGAAAACCAAAAAATGTTTACGTACGTGTATTTATATATCCTCTTTGATTAATCTCTTTCTTCAAACCAAAGGTAATTTCTGTGGGCCATTTCGGCATATATGTGGCCCAATCATGTGATGGCCGTATAGGTTGAGGCCCGTCATCCATTAGTCAACCACACGTTCTCCTCATGTCTTAATTGTTCTTCATTCTTGGCTATTTTTCTCCTTTCCCCTTCTTAAAGCGATGTGTTATTTATAAATTAAACGGTATTATCGCTCATATTCAATATCAAGTGTCCGGCTAAACTCTACCTATTTTTAGAGGAAAAAAAAAATAGTGAAGAAATAAACTCTACTTACCGTTTCCCAACACTAAAACATGTCGTTTTGTGATTCATTATTGTTACTTCATCAATAAGAACATGTCTTCTTCAACCATAGACAACAATGTTATTTAAACACAACATATATATATATATATATATATATAGCTGTTTGATAGTAAACAACATGTGTTTCTGTTGACGACGCGCCGTAAAAGTGTTAATTACAATTCATTGTCGTTTCCTCGTTCACAAACTACATGTGGGTTTTTTCATGTATAAACGACATTTCATACATATAACTGTTTGATCGGGGTCAGAAAAATAATTTTTGTTATTTATGGTGCATTTATTATTTTCATACACCTAAAAGGAGATGTCATTAATTAAAGGAAAGCAACATGCCTTGTCAGTTGCCACTTCTTACTCGAAATGTAAACGACAGATCGTGTATTCCAGTTTTGCATTTGAATGAACAAATACAAACGGCCAGTTATATCGGAGTAAATCTCGGGGTGAAACCAATATGTGAATATGATATAGCAACGTACCCTAAATGCTTTTTGTGTTTTTTTAAGCCCCTTCTAAATGGTCCCTACAAATGTTGTTAATAAAAAGAGTATCTCTTATAATTTAGAAAATATACAAAATATATATTTAAAAATCCACATTAAGGGGTTGTTTAGTTGGGAGATTCGTACCCCGATTCAAATTATGGTTCATGGTTCACTACAGTGTTTTCTCTCACAAAAATACACGTAAATCGAAAATGGTTCTAATTTTATGATTCTAATCCATGAACCAAACGTTTCATAAATATTATTCTTAAGTAATAATTTACACCGATGAGGGCGGCAAGGGGCACTTTAAGCTCACAAACTCAGAGTCGCCAACAACGATATGGTCTCGAGATTGGTGGCGAATTTGGCCTTGTGCACGGGGGGCATCCAGGATGCGTTGTGAGGGGCGGTGAGGATATAGTCTCGCGAAAGGTTGGGGGCGGATTTAGCCTTAATGACGAGGCGGCGAATCTAGGTGGTGGGAGTGGGGTTGGCCGTTAAGGGAGGGGGAATTAAAGGGTTTTAACTAGTTTATCCGAAATACCTTGCTTGCCCCTTCTATTATTCAAATGTCTAAAATATAACCCGTACACATCTATTTCAAAAATGTATTTCAATATATATACACATAATATGTTACCTAACAAATTTAAATATTACCGTTTAAATTGCATTCATCGTTAATGGCAAATTTTAAAAATCGATGATCGAGAGAGGCATTTGAACAAACCTTTCGATTATTCAACTTCTCTCAAATTTTACAATCTCAACACTTCCCTTCAGTGTTCCAATTTATAATACTAGCTTATACAAACACGAGTTTTTACTATTTCCTCTATAGAAAATGGTTCATAAACATGGGAAGAAAAACAAAAACAATTAAGCACAATCTTCACTTGTTATTTATAATTTATTTCCCTTAAGATCAAATTAATGTATGCAATTCTAAGAACGTGGCAAAAATATTGTGTCTACTATTTCATCTTTTTTGAGGATTTGTGATCTCGAGTCATTCTTGGGGAGTCCATCATGTGATTTTTCAAATGATCAACTGTAGGAATAATGCCCGTTTGAGTGCCATCGCTATCATTATCGATCTCCTCTTCTATGCTCAATCCTTCTATTCTTGCTGCTGTTGATCCCTCTTTATTTCCCACACCTGTATTTGCACATGTAATTTATCACAAATTTACTGAGAAATTTGTTTCTGGTGTTGTTGGCCTTGTATTCACGTTTATCTTGGTTACTTAAAAAAAAAAATCTCTTCTTCTCGGTCACATGAATGGAACATAAAAATAAAAAAAAAATAAAAAACTGGAAATATATAGTAGTCTTTTCAGTTAGCACATTCTTATAATTTATTATAACAAAATGCGTCATTACAACCAAAAAAAAAAAAAAAAAATTATGGATAAACTGAATAAAACAAGAAAAAAGATATATATTGCAGCAATAGGTGTGGCAAAATTCATGATTTTGGATCTGAATTCTTCTTCAATATCATTCATATCATATCATACCTGGGGTGGTAGAGAAGAGCCAAAGAATGAGAGCGCAGAGAATAAGAACCAAAGGGATAAGATGGACGGCCTTTTCCGCAAACTTGTCGCGAGCCCTCTCCTTCTTCGCAATCTCGGCGATATTCTCATCGTAAAGCGGCAGCTGCGGATCGCCGTCGTCGAACGACATTCGCAGCATCCCCTTGCTCGGCGACGGCGACGACGACGACGACGATGACTGCATCAAGCTGCTGTACTCATCGGAAACCCGGTTCCAACTCGCAGATCTATACATAGTAATCTTTGTTGTACTACCTATATTTTCAAGATCATGAGCAGTAAATTAGTACTTTCTGAGTTTAGAGAGAGAGAGAGAGAGAGGAGATAAGAGGAAGAAGAAGAAGGAGGGGTTTGAGTAAAAGGCGGCAAGGATTTGGGACAGTTTGTTGTAATTGCTTTGACTGTCCTTTTTTTCTGTTTCAATTTTGTAATTGCTAGCAACGTGTTTAGTTCTCTTTCATTTGATCTGCATGAATATGCACTTGTCCATTCTTTAACTTTTGTTAAATAATTTCTCTCTCTAAATAGTACGTGTAGTTGGGGAAAAAAAAACAGTTTGTGTTAGTACTCTATTATAATTTGGTGTTATTAATTACATTGACAGAAGACAAAAGTGCTTCTTCATATGGGAACCATACGAAACAAAACAAAAGGTTTTATATTGATCCCATTGTACTTTTTTTCCTACTTTGAAAACGGAAAATATGAAGCCAACAGGGATGAACGTATTCCCCCAAAAACACAGGCTTATAGGAGGATAATTACTATACCTATAATATTACAAACCTAATTAACTTAACTTTGGTGCATTCTACTGCTTTCTTTTTTTCTTCTCAGGTAACCAAGTACTCTTCTAGACGAGAAAAAACGACAGTAATACTGCAGCAACAAATAAAAATATAAAAAGACCCCTTTTCTTAATTTTCTATCTTGAGCGTGTTTATGAAGGTCTTCCCTTCAGCTATATCATTGGTGGCAAGAAAGTTGAGAAAATCCCCGAAGCTGCTTTCTTTGTACTTCTTTTTGCGTTCTTGATCATCCACAAGCTCTTCAGCGGGTCCCATTTTCTCATCCATCCCCAGACTATGCAAGCTCGCAACAGAAATCCTCGTCCTCTCTCGGTTCAAAGTCGCCCGGTGAACAAGACTCTTGTATGTCCCGTTGCTCAGCACCTCAAAATGGTCGCCCACATGGACTTGTAGCACACCGCGAAGATCCGGGATCAGTCTCCACCCGTCCGCGCCCGCCTCCGCGTCCATGATTTCGAGGCCCGGCGAGCTCTGGAGGACGATGGTTAAGCAGCTGTAGTCTGAGTGTGGGGGCAAACCTAGAGCCAGATCAGGGTTTGGGCACGGTGGATAGCAATTAACGGCCATTACTTGCATTCCACTTTCTAGTTTTTCACTTAAGTAGTTTGGACCAAGTTCTAGGCTCTCGGTTATGGCTCCCATTAGCTCCAACCCCAGCTTCCTCACTTCTTTGCAGTACCTTCCCATTTTTTCCCTGAAGTGTGACACATAATTAATTGGAACACAGTTTTAGGACCGGTTTAGTTCGCTGATTTGAGTTTTTAATTTGACTTGAGATGTGATTTTATGTGAAAGTTTTTTACTGTAACAAAAAGTTAGATGTAACTGTATTTGAGAGCTTTTTACTGTAACAAAACTCGAATTTTAAATTCGAATTGGTGAAATGAACAGGACAAAATTAGATTCAAATTCCATACTTAAATTTTTGTGTCTCAAATAATGTCTAACCAATCACGTTATGTTATTTCATTAAAAAGGGACAAAATTGGATTCAAATTCCATACTTAAATTTCTGTGTCTCAAATAATGTCTAACCAATCACGTTATGTTATTTCATTAAAAAACATAGAAAGGTTTATAAATTTTATAAGATTAATGTGACGATTGTTTAAACATATTCAGATACCAATTAAATTAAGCAAGAAATCTTAGTCTGAGAAAATTAAACTTAATTTGGAACACGTATATATGTGTGTGTGTTTATGTACAGGTAATGTTTATGAGATCATGAAGTCAATCACGCAGATCGCAAGTAAGCAAAAAGGGTTGAACATATTAATTGAGAACACATGAAGCCAAAGCAATTATATATGAGAGGATTTTCATGCCTCACCAAATCTATCCACTTGAACCCATTTGGCGGTATTAATGGCTATGGCGTCAAAGTCATTGTTTTGTCATCAAGATATATACATCAATCACGTGAGGTCTCGTTTAATTCATTAATTCGAGTTTTTAATTTAAACTGAGATGTAATTTTATATGAGAGTTTTTAACTGTAGTAAAAAAGTTAGATATGACTTTTTGTGAGAGCTTTTAACTGTAGCAAAACTGAAATTAAAAACTTGAATCGGTAAAATGAACGATGCCTAAATTTATACAATATTTTCTTTGTACATGGATACCCGCTTGCTGGTGTCAAAAAAAATTAACAGCCGAACACTACCACATATGGGATTATAATCAAAGTGGGCTACAGGCAGTAGAGCCCTGTCGGTTTGTTGGATTTTTACACAGATGATTGGTTTAGGACAAGTACAGTCCAACACCTACATATCATGTGAACATGTACACCAAAGTTGCAAAGTCACAAACTAATTAACATAGATATATAATATATTATATTGTCAGAGTACGTTATATACATAGTACAAACTCTCTTTTTTCTTTTTATTTAAAAATAAGAAAAAGAAAAGAAAAGTGCATATATATATATATGTGTGTGTGTGTGTGTGTATTAATGTTGTTACGTACCTGTAGGTAGGTGGATTAGTAGGCCAAGATTCTATGAAATCTTCCAAAGGATGGGCATATTGTTTAAGGAAGACCCTCCAAAACTGAATCTTGTCAGCCCCATCCTTCAAGCTGGTTCCATATCTCACGGGAGTATGCACGTCATTGGACATGAACTTCACCTTCTCCGCAGCTGGCAATCTAAAGAAATCGAACGCCGAAGATAGAGCGTCATCTAGTACCGATTGGCAGATTCCGTGGTTGACTATCTACATTAAACATAATCACCATAACATGTCCAAAAAAAAAAAAAGCACTAATTTTCACTAAGCTCGTGAAATATTGTACTGCAAAGATGAGCAACTTTGATGGTTAAAATGAAGCTTACTTGAAAGAAGCCAAGACGAAGACAAGCATCTTTGATTGCTTCAATGGCTATCGCACGTTGTTGAGGACCTTTTCTAAGTCCGGCCAAATCAACAAGGGGTACTTTCGCCATCTCCGGCGAAGAACTTGCACGGTCTGAAGTTGGGATCTTGTAACATTCAGGAACATAAGGCAAACCTTTCTCTTGCGCACTTTCTCCCGCTCGAAAACAATTCGAATCTCCCTCATCCTCCATGTCCTAGTGAGAAAGTATTTGTAAAGTTCAGAAATTCAAAAATTATGATTGAAAAAAGATTGGTAACGAAATGGGATTTTATATAGGAAGAGATTTATAAGCGGCGTCACGTACATGATCATAACTTGGATTCAAAGTATAGTTGCCTAGTAAGTTCTACATTAAGACCCTGAGTCATGGAGATCAACTTGTGCGATGAAAATTAAAGGCTCCAAAACTAAAATCCAAAATTGGGTCCCAAAGTATGTGCATAAGCTGCTTTTGATTTAAAATTGAATTGATTGCATATTCTTTGGATGTAGACCATGTTACTAGAAGACGCCCCAAGTCCTCTCTTGTAATATACTTTAATATTTCTTTTTGGCACATTCATATTACTCCAAATTAAGCTTCATATACTAAATATGTACCGTCGAACTTTACAACAAACCAACAATGTAAAAAACTGACAGCGAACTAGAAGACAAAAAAAAACTTTTTGGGAATTTGGGATTAGACTATATTCTAGACAGTTGTGCAGTTTTCTTGTTTTATCTTTTTTTTTTTTTTTTTTTTTAAAAAAAATTTT